ACATGAATGTACCTCATTTCATCCCAATATTGAACCTGCATTAATGCTACTGGCCTGTGATCCACCCCCATGCTATTTAATTTCCTCAAGAGAATTGTAGAATTCTTATTTGAAAGAGGCCTCAAATGTCATCTATATCAACCCCCTACCTTAATCATGAGTATCTTCTATAATCTTCCCCAAAAGATTCTTTGAATATTTTCAACAAGCAAGAACTCACTGGCTTTTAGAGGCTACTCATTCATTTGGATGACATTAGTAGTTAGGCATTTTTTCCTTATATTGAGTATCTGTTTTCTTATAACTCCTACCTTTTCATCCTAGTTTTTCCCTCTGAGAGCACACTGAATCATAATCTGAGAAATGGATGTATGTAGGTATGTAGGTATGTAGGATTTGGCAACCTGGAACTTAGTTCAGGGTAAGTATCAGCCAGAGAGAACAGTGAGAAGAAGCAGTTGAGATCAATGAAATTCAACAAACATTCACGGACCACATATAATATTAAAGGCACTATTCTAAACACTGGGGGAGGGAGGGATGGAGTGGGGAGGTTGTAAAGGCAAAAAGGGAAACTGTCCCTGCCCTCAAAGAACTCATATTCCATGAGTCAGATACAATATTGATACATTATGGTGGCCCAAGGGAGAACCTTGGGAGATACTCACATTTTGATGGAAGATCTGGCACAGATGAAAAGGGCATGGTCAGGCAGATAGAAGCACAGCCAGGGAAACCAAGGGAGGAGACAGTATGTAGGAGGAGGGGGTGCTCAAAAGCATCAAAAGCTGTTGAAAGGTAAAGAAGATGAAAATTTTGAATGTGCCATCAGTTAAGACAACACTGATAATCTCTGAGAGGGCAGTTTTGGTTAAGTAGTGGGGTCAGAGACAAGATTACAAGGAAGTGAAGAACCAATGGAAGGTGAGGACATAGAAGAGTGAAAAAGAGAACCATAGGCCAACAACTTGGGATGATGGTCAAGTAAGTGAAGGTCAAGTGAAATTTTTTGAGGTGAACTTCTGAAGGAGACAGATAGGGACAGGATGGGTTGGAATGGAATGCATAAGTAAGAAGGATTGGCCTTGGCAAGGTTAAGGAGTACCTCTGCCTCAGAGATTAGAGAAAAGTGGTGTGGATAAAGATAAGAAAGGTTTTGAGTATGGAGCAGACAAGAAGAGGGAGCTTATGTCAAATGGCCTTAGTTTTCTCAGTAAAATAGAAGGCAAGGCTGGGAGACAGGAAAATGTTGATTCTTTCTTTTCCAAGATGCCTCTGCTACCCTGGGAGCAAAAGGCTGCTTCTCTAAAGAGCATTTCCTTATAGAAGAGAGGAGGGAAATGGGTTAAACTAGCTGTAGGGGGTGGGTGGGGGAGAAAAACATTTTTAAGTCTTCCTGTAGGTGACATGTGTCCTGAATAAAGTAAAAAATCAAAAGCATAAATTTCTATTCAGCAATAAAATAAGCTGGAGAACAATAACAAAAAATGCAGAAGGGGGTTAGAAAATCCCTATTTGCCATATTTTTTAGCTGAATGCCTGGCAGGGTATATAGAGTATGCTTTAAAACTTTGTCTTAAACATTTCACTTATTCACTTATTCACATTATATTTTAAGAGAAGGCATACACTTAGACTTTTTCTTAGAAAAAATTCAATTTAATTCATTTTGATTAGATGCAAATTTATTAAAAAGAGAAAATTTTGAAATTATCAAGTGGAGTCTCTCCTTGTTTGCTCCACCTTACAAATTGCTCTTTTTTTGGCCCTTGGGAAACCAAGGTCTCTTCTGGGTGGGGGTGAGGGTGTAAATGGAGAAGATGTGGGACACTTGAGAAGAGAAGAGAAAGGTTGGAACATCAGTTTAGAGAAGTGAGATAATCCATCTAGGAAGAATAGAAATTTTGCCACGAGGCATTAAGCAAATGGGTGAGATTAGAGAGCATGGATTTGTTGACCATGTTGATAGTTTTGTGGCTTCCTTCACTGATGTCCACCAGCTCAGGAACATGAGCAGAGAAGGTAGATGAGGTGGTGATCTGAGGGTGATGATGTGGCAGGGCAGAAATAGGACATGGGGGCAAGAGGTCAAGGACAAAGACAGAATGCAGTTAACTGTTCACCTATAGCAGCAAGATTGTGATGACAAGTAAGTGAATAAGGGTATAAGAAAAAGATCACAAGCTAGGTAAATCAGTAAATCTTTGAGAAAAGAAGGCTATTGACTTGGAGGTTAGTTGATTATGGTAACAAAGATCTGGACCAACTAAGATGGAGAGGTGGCATGAATCTTAAAAGAAGAGAGATACTAGTAGGCTTTACGATTATAATCTCATTTGATCCTCTCAATAACCGTGGTGGGTAGCTGTTATTATTGTCCATGGAAACTGAGGCAGACAGAGACTAAGTGACTTCCCCGGAGTCACATAGCTAGGAGGTATCTAAGATAGAATTTGAATTCAGGTGTTTCTGCCTATAGGTCTAGCACTATGACCTGCACCACCTAGCTGCCTCTATTGTATATGAGTGTGCTTTGATGGAATTCTACCTGTCCTGGGGAATTCCTTGATTTGACCCCAAGAGTGTTCTGGCTGATGATTTGGATCATGCCTATGACCATACCCTTTCTACCCAAGATGCATGGGGGGGGGAAACCTTTCCTCATTAATTGCTCCTCCTCATCGGAACATGTGGACTTCATCCCTAAAAGTGCTAGACCAAACATATATGGGGATGAAGTAACTGAATTGTCTTGCTTCTGGCATGGGGAAAGACCATTGCCACCACTCAAAATACAGTTATCCCTTCCACATCACAACTTTTCCCTTCATGTTTTTGATATATAGTGGATCAGCATAAGAAATGAAATGGGAATTTTTTGGGAGTTTTGAGGAAGCCACAGACAATACATGAAGGCTAGCAGATGATGCAGTAAAAGTTTGGAAACTCAGAAATACATAAAATATATGTATAGTGTTATATAATATCAACCTATTTTATCTTTTAATACCACAATAATTCAGACTTCTCTGGTATGAAAGGAGGGCCAAAAAATTTTACATGGATTTTCTAGCTCGAGGTGGGTATCACATCACTAACTCCTGTAATATGGAAAGGATAACTGTACCTTCCTTCTTCCAAGCTATAAAGTGGACTGTTTCATGATCAGAGATTTATTCCATGGACTGAAGATAAACTTTGTGAGCTATTTATTTATAGCTCAGTGTTTGTGAACATATTTGACTTTTTTCTTGTAAATGAGGCTACTTTTTTGAGAAGGCAAAAAGGTAGAGAATAGAAGGATACTGGGCCTGCATGTTCCTGATATGTAAATTTAGGGAGGGTCGAGGTGCATGGAGGGTGAAAGGGAAAGGGTCCTCTTAATTCTTCTTAATAATGAACAGCACAGATGAGGGACTGTTAGCTATTCAACCACAGGCTATACTCACATCAAAAATTTCCTAGTTGAGTCTGAGACTGCTGCCAGAGCAGATGTGTCAGCTTGCAAGTTAGGAGCATGCTGGGGAACAGGTAGCAGGTTTCCAAAGGCCCAGACGTATACCACTTTGATGCTAAGGCAGGCTGACATAGACCTTGGTCTCACGTATACTTAGTTTGAGCTGACTCAGCCCTCACAGCAGGATGTTACCCATTGACTGACTGCATTGGACAAATTCATAGAATTTTAGAGCTAAAAGGAGACCTTAGATGTTGTGAATTATTTTTTGATATTACTAAATGGAGGCCCAGAGAAGTTTAATGACCTGCCCAACATCATATAAGGAGTGGAAGAAATTGGACAAAAATCTAGATTGAGCTTCAGATTTCTAATCATACTGTACATATTTCCCACTTACATAATTATGTATTATTATGGACAGCTCTACCTTCATTATCTAATTTGATTTTTATAACTCCATGAGATATTATAGTGCAGGTGTTATCAATTTATTATTACTTTTTACAATAATTACCATTTCGCATAGGAGTAAACTGAGGCTTAGGTTAGGTCAAGTGATTCCTCTAAGGGTATAAAGATACTAAGTCACAGAGTCAGAATATTTTACACAGTTTCTCTGTATAAGATTATGTAATTGTAAATTCTCCGTGTAACAACTGGATTCCAAATACAGTTCTCTTTCCAATACATGGTACTGATCTTTGACTTCTTCATACTCAGGTGGATGTAGATACCACCTTCAACTTGCAGGATTATGAAAAAAATGAACAAACAAACAAATGTGCTTCTGAAAACAGGCTGTAACGAGATTGTGAGTTTGAGAGAACACGGGGGACCCAAGACATCACGTCTATGCCAGAGGTTGTGGGTAGCAAAGCTCAGTGAGGAGTCAAACCCTGAGCAACCTACTTGGCACGGGCTGGTGGAGACCAATTACTGCAAGCGAGGGGGCAACTTTAGCTCCTTTCTATGCCACATTCAGAAGTGAATGTGATGAGACAAATGATCCCTGAACAGCTTTATCTGACCTTCTCACTGGTGCTAGATTTGCTCAGAATTTGCGGTTCAGTCACCTAGGTAGAGTCACAGCTTATTTTTTTCTAGATATTGCCTAACTAGTACCTCATCCACCTGAAGTGGCCCATTCAATGCAACAATCCTGTAGCTAATAGACAGGGTAGGTATGATCAGGGGCTTGGATATACCCAGAGAAAATGCCCATCTCTCCTAGGTTAACCTTCATACTGACTGAGGTATGTGATTAAGGCTGTCACTCTTAGAACATGTGGAGTTTTTGAGGAGAGACAGACAGACACACACACATGTGCATGCACACACACACACATTCAGAGAGGCAGAGAGAGACACACACGGAGACAGAGAGAGGCAGAGATGGAGAGATGAGAGGCAAAGAGATAGTTAGGCAGCTGTGTGCCTATGAGGATGTTGGGGGTTATTTCTTCAGTTTTTTCTTCACTTTTTTTATTTCTTCAGTTATTTCTTAAATATAGCAACAACTGTTTTTTTTTTTTTCAGAAGAGGGAAAAGACACCCAGACCTCAATTCCAGCTAATCTCTTGGCAAACTTCATTTAAAAAAACAGCAAATCCCATTTGTCCAAACTCTGCAAAGCTCCATAAAGGTATCTAACATAGAGATGATGATTTTCTTTTTAAATGAGACCCTTTATAAAATTCCTTGATTTTCATCTGTTGCTACTTGAATTGAAGTGAATTGAAAAAACAAAAACAATCAACCCAAATCTTTCTTTCAAAAAGTTCTACTGAAATGTTTTCAGTGTAGTGTTAGGTCTCTAGTTGCTTTATCTCAAGGAAATAATTCATATCCTTTGCCTGGTACCTTTTCTAGGGAACAGGGGGAAAATAACCAGCATTTATTTAGCCTTTTAATGTTTTCGAAGCATTATGTATACATCACCTCATTTGGTCCTCACAACAATCCTGGGAGCCAGATGCTATTATTATTCCCATTTTACAGTTGAGGAAAATGGGGCTGTGAGGGATTAAGCGTCTCGCTCTGGGTACTGTAGCTGAGGCTGGTTCTAACTCTGGTCTTAGTAACTCCAAGCCCTGCACTCTCTCCATTCTTCCACACAGCTGGTGAATCAAGTTTCAGCATAGTCACAAAAGCAAGATTGGAAATAGTGATTCATTGATTTGGGTATTTTGTCATCGTCAATGGCTCTCAGGAAATGTTGTGCAGTAGGGGAGAGATCCTTGAGAGTCAAGGGGTGGAGTTCTAGGCTGGTCTTTGTCACTGGTTAACTGAGGTCAGAAATATAATTTTCTTCCTTCAATCTCATATAACACCTTACATATCTCTTATGTATTTTGCAGAATCACAGAATCTGAGAGTTGAAAAAGGACCATACTGAAAAGGGCCATCTGATGTAATCTGTCTTCCTGAGAAGGAATCCTCTCTTCAGCATTCCTGACCAGAGGTCACCCAAGCTCCACACAATTGCCTTTAATGGTCATAGTGTATTATTCTTGTGATAATTTGCTGTAATCTATTTGCTAATATTTTATTTAAAATTTTTGCATCTAAATTCATTAGGGAAATTAGTCTATAATTTTCTTTTTCTGTTTTGACTCTTCCCAGTTTAGGTATCAGCACCATATTTGTATTACAGAAAGAATTTGGTAGGACTTCTTCTTTGTCTGTTTTTCCAAATAGTTTATATAGTATTGGAATTCACTGTTCTTTAAGTATTTGATAGAATTCACTTGTAAATCCATCTAGTCCTGGAGATTTTTTCTTAGGGAGCGCTTTGATGGCTTGTTCAATTTCTTTTTCTGAAATGAGGTTATTTAAATGTTTTATTTTCTCTTCTGTTAATCTGGGCAATCTATATTTTTGTAAATATTCCTCCATTTCACTCAGATTGTCAGATTTATTGGCATAGAATTGGGCAAAATAGCTTGTAATTATTGCTTTAATTTCCTCTTCATTGGTGGTGAATTCACTCTTCATTTTAGATATTAGTAATTTGGTTTTCTCCTTTCTTTTTTTAATCAAATTAACCAAAGGTTTATCTATTTTATTGTTTTTTCATAAAAGCAGCTCTTAGTTTTATTTATTAGTTCAATAGTTTTCTTAATTTCAGTTTTATTAATCTCTCCTTTGATTTTTAGAATTTCTAATTTGTTATTTAATTGGGGATTTTTAATTTGCATGCAGAGGATTTGGTTGACTACTGCGTCCTGGCTGAATAACCTGGAAGTAAAAGCTGAGCATGGATCTGGAGCAGATGGAGAGCATTGGGCACTCTGGTATGTGGTTCATTGAAAGCAGAAAAAGGAACATGTTTCTCACTTTTGATGAAGGTCCCAGCCTGGATTCTGTGCTCTTTTGACACAAGTTGGGGCCAGGAGGTGGTAAAGAGAAGTTGCTGTAAACTCCATTTATAAACTTTTATTCTTGCCGAACTGCTATTTTCTTTCCACCAAGCATGCCTTGCAATCTCCCATTTTCCTGCCTTGGCTTACAGTGTTCCCTATGCCTTGAAGAGTATCCATTTGACTATTGCTGGGCTGGTTCAGGTGGTAGAAATTTCCTTCTTTGCTGGGGGTCTCCAAGCAAAAGCTGAATGACCACTTCTCTGCAAAGTTGTAATAGGGATTCTTGTTTAAGTATGGGGTGGGTTAGATGATTTCTTAGAATCCTTCCCACTCTAAGATTCTGTGAACTTCCTACCCCTTCTTTAAAGCTTTCTTCAAGCAACCCCTATTTCTTGAAGTCTTACAAGCCAGAGACCTGTAAGGATCTTCCCCTTTAGGTGTCATATAAAATATTGTTTTGGGGTTTTTAAATGCACTTATATGATGTGTCTTATTCCCCTGCTAGAACATAAGCTCCATGGAGGCAAGACTATATTTTACTTAAATTTTATAAGTGCTATCACCTAGGAAAACATCTGAGCATTGTAGGTACCTTATAAATGTTTGTTGATTGATTTATTGCAATGTAGTGATTATCAGACCAAATGGTTAAATATGGATTTGGTAGATAGGCTAACTCTCTTCTCCTTTGTGTGTGGGAAAAGTTAAGATTCAGAACTCTTATGCACATCTTGCAAGTTCATGCCCCCCCAAATACCTGTTTATTCTGGGTCTAGTTCTGGTTTAAGGAGAGAAACTGAGGATGAGGAAAGGTGGAAAAGATTAGCTAACTTCCCTTCAGGACATATGGTGTGATGTAAGGACCAAAGAATGAGGAGCCTCTTGACAATTTTCTAATTCTGACTCTGTCACTGATTTGCTTTGTGGCCTTAGAAATGTCACTTGGATGATCTGGACTCCATCTTCATCTGGAAAGCATGCTCTGTCAACATAACTCTGAGTCTTTGTGTGGATCAAAAGAGAAAATGAATACAAAGATTCCTTGCAAAGAATAAAATAGGAAAGTATTTTTTTCTGTCTAAATCAAATATGACACATACTTTATGTGTTCAAGAAGGAGCTAAATGTTTATTAGCAAGGCCAGTTTCTTGATAGGTAGAGTGGGAGATTGCCTATTGTGATTCTAGGGACTTTGGGAAGACTTAAACAGTTGCCCAAATCATTCTATGCATTGGCTGATATTAGAAATTTCACTAAAGCCTTCAGTTCTGCTTACAATGTACCTCTTTTCCCTACCCTCCCTCAACCCAATGCATAAAACAGTTCATAAATTGCTTCATGGGCAAGTCACCATGCACATAGCAGCCTAGCACCTCAATGTGAATGAAGCTAGGGGACTGAAGTATATGGACACTGACACTTGAGAGGAGCCAGGAGAGGTAATTAGAAATGAAAGAGCAGACTAGAGCTAAAAAAAACAAAAGACAAACTTTACCCATTACCTGAACTTGTCTAAGGACAGTTGGGTTTCTTAATCTATCTATATAAAAATAATCACATCTACTAAAAAAAATACAGATCTCTTCTCATTTTACTGTAAAAACAAAAATAAAAACAACTTCATTGACACTTAAAATAAGGTCAATTTATTTAAGCTCCTTATTTTCTAAGCAAATGCCTGTAATCTCCTTAGACAGAGGGTCTGAATGCAATGTTGGCAGCTCATCACTCATCTTAGAGACCTTATTCACTAAAACATTTCAAGTTGGACTCAGTGCATATAATCTCTGGATAAAGTCCAATAGGTATCAGCAATGTATTGTTCCCTGGCCCTATCCATGGTGCTGATGGAAACTTTTCCCCACAATAGGTGGGGAAAGATTTTAACTGGGGCAGTCTGCCACAAGACAAGGGGAAGACATTGTAGTCTGAGAAAACATTGGTCTATGGTTAGGAATACATGTTTGGAAACTATGAAAGGGCCAAGTAGTAGCAGTGTCTGAAATGGAAAATTAAATAGGCCCAAATCAGTGGTAAAGTGCAAAGAGAAGGCTGGGTCAGTATGAGGAACACAATTAAGTTGGGGTGGAGAAAATAGGAAGAAAGGACTGAGTTTCAGTAATCAAGGATTTTGTATCAGATGAGCTATAGGCTATTGAAGGAAGTAGACAGTTTACTTACAGAAGTGTGTAATAATACATTTTATTAAACAGCTGCTCTGTTTCTTTGGCCATTTCATGCAAGAGAGTTTTCTTATTGCTTAAAAGGCCTTCTTCAGCTTTTACTTCCAGGTTATTCAGCCAGGACATAGTAGTCAACCAAATCCTCTGCATGTTTTGGTCCCCAGAAGATCTCATCTTCCTTCAGATAGGGACTTGTATGCCATAAGGAGGTGGCCCCAACCAAGAGCCTTGAAGTTCTTGATCATTTGTGTCTTGCCTCTGGTAATAAAATATTTTCTAGTGGCTTCTAATGGATTGATTTGGATACTAAAAACATTATAGAGATGAACAATCAGTTTTCATAGAGGTCTCATTTTCAGAACCAGAACCAGTTTGTGTGCCAAAATGTATTATTTCACACTTAATTTTAACTAGGTGGTTAAGTGGGTAGAACATTAGGTCTGGAGTCAGGAAGACCTGAGTTCCAATCTGATTTCAGGCACTGATTAGCTGTGTGATCCTGTGTAAGTCATTTAATTCTGTCTGCCTCAGTTTCCTCAACTGTAAAATAGGGATAATAATAGCACCTATGTCCCAAGGTTGCTGTGAGGATCAAATGAGTTAACATTTGTAAAATGCTTAGCACAGTACCTGGTACAGAATAGGTACTTAATAAATATTTGCTTGCTTGTTTTCTTCCCATTGAACTTGACAAATAAAACTCTAATTTTCTATCTTTCCCTTTTCTACTATAGATGAGAAATCAGAAGTCTGATCCAATTTGATTAGGGACCTGCCTTCCCTACAGAATCTCCTAAATTCTCTTCACTTAGATCTAGAGAGCTTCCACTTTCATCAAGTACCATAACAACTGAGGAATCTGTGATGGAAGGGGAACTAATTAGAAAGTGGTATCTATATTAACCTTTGTGATTTCAACCTAAAGTTCCTCTTTTCACTCTCCTGTTTTTGGGGGCAAGGGGTGAGTTGCCATCTATCAATATAGATCAGCACCTACTCTGCAATGTATGGTCTTAGAAAGTAGCCTGGTGGCACTGAGAGATTAAGTGACTTGCCCAGGGTCACACAGTTAATATGTATCAGAAGTAGGGGCATGAACCAAGGCATCACTTTTATCTACTATGAAACTGCTCTATCATATAAAAATTGTGTTTGTTGATTTTGAAAAAATGAGAAATTGTACTTGGGTTCTTTAGTTTCTGATTCTAATTGCTGTTCTTTTAAAGAATAGATTTTGTGTGTGTGTGTGTGTGTGTGTGTGAGAGAGAGAGAGAGAGAGAGAGAGAGAGAGAGAGAGAGAGAGAGAGAGAGAGAGAGAGAGCGAGCACACTAAGGGTTCCTAGTATGTACAAGTAAGCAGAAAAAGCATTAGATGGCAAAAAGAAAATATTAACAATAACACAACATACTGATGAACTTTAATCCTGAGAGCTTATTTACTCTCCAAAGGGGAAAAAAAAAGCTGGTAGATGAAATGAATATTTTTGTTTTGCTTTAGGTCTTTGCTCAGAGGGGAAATGGAAATCTTAAGAAACAGGCAACCCACGAGCAAACAAACAAGGCACCAAAATGGTTTTATTTTGATGTGAAGTCATTACTATAAGCCTAAAGAGCAGAAAAAAAAAGAGCAGCATGTTTCTAAAACTGAGAAGAGTTTCCATTTTGATTTGATTTGAAAGAACAGGTGAAGGTTTGAGTTTTCAATTCCCTCTGAGGTGATTTGCCCTAATTTGAACTACTGATGCTGAAAATTCAATGGAAAATGAGAACTTTCTGTAGTCCAACCATTGCCATCTTATCCACATTATTATTATGACTTGGGGATTGTCGGGCACTTTCAGTGTGATGTAGGAGAGAGTAACCTCAGTCCCTGCCCTCAGGGTTTACAACTTCAATCTCAGGAAATATTCTCCTGGATTTGCATCAGCCTCTGAGAGGAAATAGGTCTGCTTGTGTGGGGGGAAGTGTTGCTTCCCCTGATTTGAGCCATGGCCTTCTTATTCCTCATGTACACAATTCGCCTCCACTGAATTTCCTCATTTTCATTTCTTTCAATGTGAGGGGATAAATAGTTCTTGGGGATGTGGTGCCAGAGTTGAGAGGACAAATTGCCTATTTCCCTTGCAGCCTTTAAAGTGCCTTGCACAAAGTTGAAGTTAAAACTTGTAGTGACTGGGCTCCATTCCTAGCAAGGCTAATAAATCAGTCCATGCTACTGTGATAATGACTGCCCATTTTTAATTATATGACTCTTCCTAAGGAACATACTTGTATTTTGATAGGGAACTTCTGGAGAAATGATACTGTAATCTTAAAAGTAGCTTTTTATTTAAAACAGCATGGTGGAATAAGAAGAGCAAGGGACTACTAGGAGAAGACCTGAGCTGTATTATTGACTGCACAACTAACTCACTGTGTGACCCTGTATGACTTAGAATCTCAGAGTTGGAAAGGATTTTTGAGGCCCTCTAGGACAATCCTGCATATTGGGTATAAGACGAACAACTTGAACTGAAATCTTTTCTGCAGTATTCTCAATAAGTGGTCATCTGGCCATTGCTTAATGGTAATGGAGGTGAGGGGAAGAAGAGATTGTTCAGTGAAGGGCATTCTGCTACCCCTGAAGGCAGTCAATTCTACTTTGTGATAGTTAAAATGTTCTTTAAAATTTCCTTATAGAAATCCTTTAAAATTGTTTTCAGCTTTATTGATGTTTTTACATTTCAAACATTTATATTATTTCCACTTTGTGAGAGTTTTCTTATAACAACGTAAAACAGGTAAGTGAGATGAATAATACAGCGATCTCATCTGAAAGTTCATGCAATCTTAATGAGTGCCTTATAATTAGTCTTTAATGTTTTCCTTATATTTCTTCTGGATATGTTATATTAAATTTTCCATTAAATTCTGGTCTTCCTGATACAAATATCTGAAAGTCTTTCAGTTTGTCAAATGTCCATTTTTTTTCCATTCAGTATTATATTCAGCTTTGTTGGGTAAGTTATTCTTGGACACAACCCCAGCTCCTTTGCTCTTCGAAATATGATGTTTTGATCTAAGACAACTTCAAAAGATTCATGATGGAAAATGCTGTCCACATCCAGATAAAGAACTATGGAGTCTGAATGCAAATTGAAGCATACTATTGGTTGTCTTTTGTTGTTGTTTTGTTGATTTGTTTCTTCTTTCTCGTGGTTCCTCCCGTTGGTTCTAATTCTTCTTTACAACAAGACTAATGTGAAAATAGATTTAATATGAATGTGTATGTAGAGCTTAAAACATATTGCATGCCATCTTGGGGAGGGGGGGAAGGGACAGAGGGGGAGAAAATTTAAAACTGAAAATTTTAGGGAAGTGAATGTTGAAAACTAAAAATAAGTAAATGAATAAATAAAAAAAGAAATATAATGTTCCAAGACCTATGGTGTTTTAGTGTAGAAGCTGCTAGGTCTTGTGAAATCCTGACTGTTTTCCCATAGTATTTAAATTGTTTTTTTGTTGTTGCTTGCAATATTTTCTCCTTAACCTTTCACACCTATAGTATGCCCACTTACTTTAAAAAAATTGACAGAAACTGATTTTTTCTCCCCCTTCTACCCTTTACCCTTTATAAAAAAGAAAAGAGAAAAGCAAGTCTCTCGTAACAAATACATAGTCAAGCAAAAGTGTTTTAAGTCTTCCTCTCTTCAACTTTTACCCATTACTTATAATTCTACCCTTTGGGGTCAAGAAGAAGAAGTTTAATCTCTCTTTCACATGATTATCCTTCAAAATGAGTATAGCTATCATGTGCTCCATAAGTCTCCTTTCATTATACTAAGTATTCCCAAAAATTTCAATTGTGATTTTTATACTTCTTCATCTCTAGTTGTTTCCTCATGCTAGCAGCCTTCTTCTGGACACGATCTAGCTTATGAATGTCCTCCCTAACAGGTGACACCCAGCACTGAACATAATATTCCATTTGTGGTCTGATCAGAGAAGAGGTCAACGGGACTGTAACCTCACTTGGTGTGGGATACCATGTCTCTCTTAGTAGCCCAACATCTCATTAGCTTTTTGTGGCTCCCATGTCACACAACTGAATTATATTGAGTGCCTAGTTCACTAAAGCCTCTGGATCCTTTACAGAGCAATTACTATCTAGCCTTCTCATTCTTTTGAAGCTGAGTTTTGAGCTCAAAAGTGGGATTCTATAATAATTATCCCAATAAAATTTAATTTTATCAGATTCAGGCCAGTGTTATAGCTTAAAACCTTTCTGGGTTTTGAGATTGTCAACCAATATGTTA